GTCACAGTAGATTGGCAATTATTTGAATTTGCTGTAGACTTGAACTTACTGTATGAAATGAGTTGGAGGCCATCAAAGAAAATAACATCTCTGGAAATGTATAAATTTAAATAAAATCACACTTAAATGATTGATTTTCAATCTCTGTTTTTAAAAATAAATTAATTGCTCTTCTAGGTTGACGCTCTCACTTGTCAAATAATGTGATTCTTTGAATATTTATAATCTTAAAATTTTTAAATGTATTTTTAAATACAATGCTCATTCTAGTTCTTTAGGACTTATTAGATTTTAAGAGACATACAGTTAATTTAGAGAAGAAATAAACGGCATTAAGATTGTAAAAGACTGGAAAATAGTAAAAAAATAGTAAAAATCTGTTGAAAGAATAAACTTTCTTTGATACTTAATTTGAATGAGTGTCTGCTGGCTGGATTACAACATAGAACTGTGCTACATCCATGGGTCGAACACACCACAGCTGATGACTAGGAATAGACCTAGCAGTTACTTTTTTTTTTAAACTAGTTAAGTTTAACTAACTACAGATTCTTACTTCCAAATATATTCCTCCCAGAAACCTGTACCCGTTGCTGTCAGGTCAATTCTGACTCATAGCGACCCTGTAAGACAGGGTAGAACTGCCTCTTAGGGTTTCCAAGGAGCTTCTGGTGGATTCGAACTGCTGACCTTTTGGTTAGCAGCCGTAGTTCTTTAAACACTGCACCACTAGGGCTCCGTATTCCTTCTAGACCTTTATTTTCTTCTTAGGTCATATTATTGCAATCACTTAGGCTAGATCTTTATTTGCCACATAAGCCCTGCTTGAAATTTATATAATGTCCTAAGTAATTTTTTCAGACTAATAATATTCTCAAAATTCTCCAGAAGTTTTATGCTACAAATGATTTCAAGTATTATTCTCAACATAGTCTCAATATATTCTTGTGTCTCAAGGGGAATATATTGCTTTGAGATCCTAGAATGGGAATAATTATGACACTGGTAATTTGTTGTTGTTATTAGGTACCATCTGGCTAGTTCCGACTCATAGTGACCCTGTGTACAACAGAACTAAACATGCGCCATCCTCAAAACAGTTGTCATGCTTGAGCCCATCGTTGCAGCCACTGTGTCAGTCCATCTCATTGAGGGTCTTCCTCTTCTTCACTGACCCTCTACTTTACCAGGGACTGATCCCTCCTGATAACGTGTCCAAAGTATGTGAGATAGAGTCTCACCATCTTGCTTCTAAGGAGCATTCTGGCTGTAATACTCCCAAGACAGATTTGTTCATTCTTCTGGCAGTCCATGGTATTTTCAGTATGCTTTGCCAACAGCATAATTCAAAGGTGTCAATTCTTCTGTCTTCCTGTTTCATCGTCCAGCTTTCACGTGCATATGAGACAATTAAAAACACCATGGCTTGGGCCAGGCACACCTTAGTCCTCAAGATGACATCTTTGCTTTTCAACACTTTAAAGAGGTCTTTTGCAACAGATTTTCCCAATGCAATGCATCTTTTGATTTCTTGACTGCTGCTTCCATGGATGTTGATTGTGGATCCAAGTAAAATGAAATCCTTGACAACTTTAATATTTTCTCCGTTTATCATGATGTTCCTTATTGGTCCAATTGTGAGGATTTTTGTTTTCTTTATGTTGATGTGTAATCCATACTGAAGGCTGTAGTCTTTGATCTTCATCAGTAAGTGCTTCAATTCCTCTTCCCTTTCAACAAACAAGGTTGTGTCGTCCATGAGTCTTCCTCCAATCTTGATGCCGTGTTCTTCTTCATATAGTCCAGCTTCTTGGATTATTTGCTCAGCGTACTGATTGAATAAGTGTGGTTAAAGGATACGACCCTGACGCACACCTTTCCTGACTTTAAACCAAGTAGTAGCCCTTTGTCCTGTTCAAACAACTGCCTGTTGGTCTATATACAGGTTCCTCATGAGCACAATTAAGTGTTTTGGAATTCCCATTCTTCGCCATATTATCCATAATTTGTTATGATCCGTACAGTCTAATGCCTTTGCATAGTCAGTAAAATACAGTTTATCTTTCTGGTGTTCTCTGCTTTCAGCCATGATCCATCTGACATCAACAGTGATATCGCTTGTTCCATGTCCTCTTCTGAATAGGCCTTGAATTTCTGACAGTTCTCTGTCGATGTACTGCTGCAACCTCTTTTGAATGATCTTCAGCAAAATTTTGCTTGTGTGTGATATTAAGGATATTCTTCGATAATTTTCACATTCTGTTGGATCACCGTTCTTCGGAATGGGCACAAATACGGATCTCTTCCAGTTGGTTGGCCAGGTAGCTGTCTTCGAAATTTCTTGGCATAGACAAGTGAGCCCCTTCAGTGCTGCATCCATTTGTTGAAACATCTCAAACTGGAATTCTATCAATTCCTGGAGGCTTGTTCTTCACCGGTGCCTTCAGTGCAGCTTGGACCTCTTCCTTCAGTACCATCAGTTCTTGATCATATGCTACCTCCATAAATGGTTGTACGTTGACCAATTCTTTTTTGTAGTGACTCTGTGTACTCCTTCCATCTTCTTTTGATGCTTCCTGCATCGTTTAATATTTTCCCATAGAATCCTTCAATATTGTAACTCAAGGCTTGAATTTTTTTCTTCAGTTATTTCAGCTTGAGAAATGCTGAGCATTTTGTCTTACGATGGGTTCTCTAGGGAATCAAAACCAGTAAAGCATATAAATATATATATAGAGAGATTTATATCAAGGCAGTGGCTCACACGGTTGTAGAGGCTGGAATATCCCAAGTCCATGGGTCAGAATAGAGGCATCTCCTGATTCACATAGCCTCAGGGGCTGGCGAACCTAAGATTGGTAGGTCAGAGAGCAGAGCTCTTGCTTAAAGACTTTGACAAATCCCAAGATCAGTAGGCATGACTGCAGGTAAGCTGCTAGCTTAAGTCTTGAAACCAGAAGTCAGATGAACAAGAGCCAGCTGCAGAATCCAGAGCAAGCAAAAGCCTTGCCAGAATGTCCACTTATATTCGATGCAGGCCACATGCCCATGGAAACTCCCTTTAAACTGATAGTTACTCACAGCAGATCTCATCATGGAGGTAGCCACACTATATCAAATCTCATCATGGATGTGATCACAACATCATATGACTACCAAACCACTGAGAATCATGGCCCAGCCAAGTTGACACACAACCTTAACTATCACAGTCCACCCTTTGTCAACATGGCACCTGTACACATCTCCTTAAACCATACATTATCTTTGGATAAAGACAATTATTAACTCATGCTTGTGCCTAACATGATACAACAAATACACATACAACCGAATATGCACTAGTCCTGTTTACATCTTATATTTTTGGGGTCTATCCTATAAGGGGTTCTTTGAGCTTCTTGGATGGCCAGCTTTTCATCTTTCATGATACTGGGAAAGTTTTCTGTCAGCAGTTCTTCAATGACCCTCTCTATGTTTTCTGTTTTCTCCCCCTGTTCTGGAACTCCGATCACTCGCAAATTTTTGCTTTTGATTGTATCCCACATAATTCTCAGGGTCTCTTCATTTTTCTTTGTTCTTTTTTCTGAGTTTTCCTCCAACAGAGTTGTATCCAAGTGTTTGTCTTCAATTCCACTGATCCTGTCTTCTACCATTTCAGATCTGCTCCTCAGCCCTTCTATGACACTGTCCATTTCTGAAATCTTGTTGTTTATCGTTTGGATTTCTAATTGTTGTTTTTGTATAATTTCTAGTTGTGAATTTATTTTGGCATTTTGTTCCTGCATTATTTTCCTGAATTCTTCCTTTTTTTTTTTTTTTTTTGGTCTGTATTTTCCATGAATTTGTCTATTTTTTTCCACATTTTTGTCTGCTTTTTGCTTCAACTCTTGGATAATTCTGAGTATTAGAAATTTGAATTCCCTATCAGGTGGTTCTAGTGCCTTTTCTTCTACTGGAAAGTCATCTGGTGTTTTATTTTGGACGCCTACTGGAACCATCCTGTCCTGTTTTTGTAAATATTTTGATATTGTCTGCCATCTTCGGGGCATTCAGTAGTTATTTTTCTCGTTTATTGATTGTAGATTTGTTTCTTCCTGTTTTTTTTTTTTTTTAATTTGGCTATGTCTGAGCAGGTGGGCTGTGTGTTCTTTGTTGTTTGCTTGTCTGTTGGAACGATACTTTTCACCTCCTTCTCCAATTGGCAGGGTCAGTTGCTCAGATATGGTACAGCAGGGCAGGTCTAGCTGAAGAGGAGTTGCTGGGATGGGTTGTTTGTGGCACTACAGCCACCAGGGTGGGTTGGTAATCAGTGCAGGGCAGGTTCTGGTAGGCTGTGCCTGTGCTGCTTGGTGGTGTGAAGTTAAGTGCACGGTGCAGGTAGGCAGGATGGAGGGGGGAGATTGTGATGTGTGGAGCTAAGATGGATATGGGAGAGAGGAGAAAGGAACAGGAGCCAAAAACATACAAACAAACAAAAAAGAGTGCTAGGGGAGCTTGCCATTGGAGTGGAGAGATGAGAGACTATGAAATGGAGAAAAACAAAAGGGGGAGGAGGAAGAAAAAAAAGAAAAGAATGAATAACTAAAAATTAGAAAGAAAAAAGAACAGAAAAGCTCCCAGGGATCCCACCAGTGCGGCTACAAGGTCTGGGGAAGTTGTTCTCAGGTGTTGAAGTACAGCCTGGCTAGGAGGCGTAGGGGTTTCACTCAGTGCCAGGTATTCAGCGGACAGGAAGAGAAGGAAGGTATAGAGAGACGAGAAACTGAGTAATGAAGAAAGACAAAAAGGGAAAAAGAGGGAAAATGAAACAAAACATTTAAAAAAAAAGAACAAGAAAAACCCCCCAAAAAAACACACATACACACACACAAAAAAAACCCCACGAGAAAAGAAACGCCTTCTGGGATCCCTCTGCGCATCTGCAGAAGCTGAGGGGGTAGGTCCCAAGCCACGCAGCACTGCCCAGCCAGAATGGGCTCCCAACTCAAGAAAAGAAAAAGAAAACAAACAATTCAAAACAAACAAACAAAAGCCCCAGGATCCCACCAGCATGGCAGCACGGACCGGGAAGCAGTTCCACACTCGAGCAGAGCTTCACAGCCCACACTCTTCAAGATCTTGCAGTGCTTTGGGAATAATTTCACTGCAGCTTTTTAAATCTTTGTAGTAGTTTAAGTAGGATGTACATATGCATGTGTGTATATATAAGTGTCAGCAAATTCTCAATGAGAAATCAATGTATACTTTTATTTCCAAAAATAAATCTTTTGCCAGAATGGGGACTATAAACTTCTTAATTTTACTAAAGTTAGAATTTCCAAATCTTGAATTTCACACCAAGTGGCAAGTCAGTTTATACAGTTTATACTAATTGTATAATATTTCCTAAGACAAAGCATTTTTCTGAAAAGAACAGTCTTTGGGAGGATAACTGTAGGCTTAATTATTACATTGACTAATCATGTCATTAGCTATAAGATTTTTATATGATGTTTCCAGATTTACTTAGGTGGGCTAAGGTAGTTAATATCTTTATGATTGCCCTCCCGAGCAACTCCAAAACAAGCCAAGGTTATTGCTACTGCTGTGTTCACTGTTCGAGTCGCTTCTTCTGGTGTCTTCCCCAGAGATGGATTCACTTCCATTATGTCTAATCCTGAGAGTAGCCCTACAACAACAAATGGTAATAATGTAGTTTATAAAATAGTTGACATTTTAAATTCAGTACAGATTGACTTGAAAGATTACCCAGGAATGGAAAGAGGTGGTAACCAACTGAAAACACTTTAGTTACTGCATCATGTGATGGGTGCTTTTGAAGTGGCGTTAGACGCTTGGTTTTCAAATCAGGAAGATAGAAATATATATGGTCAGGTGTAAACTTGCTGCTTCATTCCCCCAGAATTTTACTTACCTGTTTTGCAAATTTCTTCTGTAATGTAGAGACCTTCTCTGTAAGACAGACCTCCTGTGACTGGTGTGCCAGTAGCTGGTGTCAAAGATGGGTCTAGTCCATCAACATCAAAACTGAGATGAATTGGCCTTTTCTTTCTTTTAAGTGGTAGGAAAGGAATTCAGTTTAAGGTGATGATTTAATGTTTAATAGGTAAATGTAGTTCTTACCCTACTTTATAAAATGTAACAACCCAGTGAAGTGCCATGGTTTTACTTAAAGGCTTTATTAATAATTTATATTGATTAGTGTCAGTAGCAAGTCCTCAATAATGCTTAAGCTACACACACATAAAAACATCATACCTTCCTAGTAGATAGCTGAGTGTTTCTTCCATCACCTTGCCAATTCCCAGTTTATCCACTTCAGTCATTGAAAAGTATTTAATACCCAAGGTTTTCATAATGTAGCTATGAAAGAAGAGACATTAAGGTAATATACAATTAATAAGACTGACTCTATATCCTCAGTAGTTTTTTGTTTTTTTATGGTGGTAAGATATATATAACAAAAAGTTTGCCATTTTAATTATTTTTTATTGTGGTAAAATACAACCAAAAAATTGTCATTTCAGCCATTTTCACTTGTACTGTTCAGTGGCATTAATTACTTTCACTATGCTATGCAACCATTATCACTGTTTCCAAATTTTTTCATCACCCTTAACAGAAACTTAGTACCCCTTTAGCAATAACTCCCCATTTCCACCTCTCACCCACCGCTGGTAACCACTAATAAACTTTTGTCTCTGTGCATTTGCCAATTCTAGATATTTCATATAACTGAGGTCGCAAAGTATGTGTCCTGTTGTACCTGACTTATTTTACTTAGCATAATGTTGTCAAGGTTCATCCATGCTGTAGCATGTATCAGGGCATCATTCCTTTTTATGACTACTATTCCATTGTATGTATATACCACTTTTTTTTTTATCCATTCATCTGTTGATGGGCATTTAGGCTGTTTCCACCTTTTGGTTATTGTAAATAGTGCTGCAGTGCAAGTTTCTGTTTGTGTTCCTGTTTTCATTTCTTTTGGGTATATACCTAGGTGTGGAATTTCTGGGTCATATAGTAATTCTATGTTCAGCTTTTTAAGGAACTGCCAAACTTTTCCATAGCGGCTGCACCATTTTACAGTCCCACCAACAATGGATGAGGTTCTAATTTCTCAACATCCTCACCAACACTTGTTATTTTCTGTTTTCTGATAATAGCCATCCTAGTGAGAGTGAAGTGGTATTGCATTGTGGTTTTGATTTGTGTTGCCCTAATGACTAATGGCATTGGACATCTTTTCATGTGCTTATTAGCCATTTGTATATCTTCTTTGGGAGAAATGTCTATTCAAGTCCTTTGCCCATGTTTTGATTGGGTTGTTCATCTTTTGGTTGTTGTAGGCCATTTTAATCATTTTTAAGAATGCAAATTAGGGACATTAATTATATTCATCATGTTGTGCTACCATCACCACCATCCATTTCCAAAAGTTTCCATCACCCCAAACAAAAACTCAGTACCCCTTCAGCAATAACTCCCTATTCCCGCTTCTCCCTAACCCCTTGTAAGCACCAATAAACTTTTGATCTTGTTTCTTTTTAAAAAAAAAGGTCAATGTGGTAAATATATAAAATATTTAGGTTTTGTGAATCCTATATATATATTGCTGTTCTGGTAGGTTTGACAGTAAAGCATACCTAGCACATAGAAGGAAAAACATGAAAATAAATCACATCAAGGAATAAACTTACTGTTCACCAGGGTCCACATCTCTCAAGCCAATATATACAATGTCTTTAGCAGATATGCAGGGAGTCACCCAGGAGAATCCTGGTACATCAGGGATCTAAAATTGCAATGTTTCCATTTGGTTATATATGCTCTTCTGTAGTAAATCTTCAAGAGTCCCTGAATGGCACAAACGGTTAAGCACTCAACTACTAGTTGAAAGGTTGATGATTGGAACACACCCAAAGGCGCCTTGGAAGACAGGCCTGGCAATCTGCTCCCTTGAATACTTTCTGGAGCAGTTCTACTCTGCACACATGGGGTCACCATGAGTTGCAATTGACTCAAAAGCAACCAACCACAACAACAGGAGTAAATCTTACTTTTAAAATTAGGAAGACAGGTTGGGTTGCATATATCTTACATTTAGAATATAAGAATGTATATATATCTTACATGTAGAGGAAATCATTTAAAAAATCACAAAATTAAGAAGGGGATGCTTGCTTTTCCTCGTGGTACCTTTATTGCTGTGGCCTTACACAGCCTGACCCAGGGGCCCAGACCTAACCTGAACCATTTACCTACTCTGTGTCCCACTGAGCCCTGCTATCCCAGGACTCTTCTATAAGAAATCAGTGTGCTTCCATTGCTTTGATAGCTGCCTTCTTTACTTCTCTTTCTCAATAAGGGACTTGATCCAAAGGGTGGTCTAGGGTGACTAAGGGAAATTTTTGACCAGACAAACCTTTGGCTGTTCCTCACACCATAATGTGATATCTGCTTTGTCCTGGAGCTGAGTTTGGTTGGTCTCATGTGCTAGGTAGACATTTTCCAAGTTTATAAATGCATCACTTGGTGCTCATTGCAGAAAGTATTACTCCTGAGCATTTAGCATAAGGAGGTTTGAATCCTCAAGTATCATCATTAGGACTAATATACTGCAGCTGCTACATATAACAATAAAAGTTTGGAATATAATGTTAAACTTTAATCTGGAATTTCATCTTACATGTTTTAGAATAGAAGTTTTTAGGGATCGAGGAGATAGTTCTTCCTCCTATGATTTAGATATGCACTTTTCATAGTAAGAATGTTAATATAAATCATTATATTCCTGCATTTAAAAACTCCATTTTTGAAAAATCCCTGTAATATGTAATCTGTATTTATTGTTAATAAATTTGTAAGAATAAGAGGGTGTGTGGTATGTTGTAAACAGGTAGGAGTTAGGAGACCTGGTTCTGGGCCTTCCCTTGCTATATGTTTAGCATATGATCCCAACGAAGTACTTAAGCTCTAAGCGGCTAATTTGTTTATGAAGGAGTATTCTCTATGGAGCCCTGTGTGCTGCAAACATTTGATGTGCTTGGCTGCTAACCAAAAGGTTGGAGGTCTGAGTCCACCCAGAGGCATCTCAGAAGACAGGCTGCCATCTACTTCCAAAAAAAGTCAGCCTCTGAAAACCCTACGGAGCACAGTTCTGCTCTGACACATGAGCTTGCCATGAGTCAGAGTTGACTTGACAGCAACTGGTACTGGTAGTAGTACTTTACCTACTAAAAAGGGTAGTTCTAAGAATCAAAAGAGAAGATGTATACAAAGTCAGTTTGCAAACTACCAAGTAAGGTAAAGGCAGAAGAGCTTCACTGATTTTTATCAGCCAATCTTTTCCTTGTTGGCTGAAGAGAAAATGGTTTGAGGTTGCAGCAAGAATAAGATGGCATAGGGGTTCTTATTTCCCTTCCACCACCAAACTTCTGCTAAAGGTTACTCTTGTAATAAAATATCAACTAGCCTTTTACCTTTCCCTTCAATTCCTTCAGGAGAAAAGACACAGGTTGTCCATGCATGTTCCCACTTGGGGTTGTCACTGGAGTGTTAATATCGGAGTGAGCATCCACCCAAATGACACAGAGGTCAGGGTGGACCTTGGCATGGCCAGAGATGCTTCCAATCGCTAAACTAACGAGGAAGAAAAGTTTGTGTGAACATTGAGTTTGCAATGTCTCTACACTCATCATAAAATATATTAACTCATCCAATGCCCCTGCTGCTCAGTTTTCCTTTAAGTCAAAGTGGCTGCTATTTCTGATAGATTTGAAAATGGAGATGCCAATTAAACAATTTTAACAACCAAGTATAGCTTATTACACTTAATACTTACTAGCAAGTTATATTTAATTGATATAATTACTAAAAATCATTTTTTTCAAAATATACCTTCTAAATAAAGTGGCAAAATATTTCTTAGCCAACGTAAAATAATAATAATAAATGTGTGTAAAAACATTAGCCATGGCAGAAATTGCCTTGCACAAGACGCTATTCAATTCTCTGGATCTAGTTCATTTGAAAATTATACAGCAATAAAAAATAATGCTTATGATCCTTATGCATACCATGAAGTAACATAAGGAAATTTGTACCGTAGATTAAGAGCAAAACATAGGATATAAAACACACACACACACAGTCATTTTAAACAAATTCATATAACAGGACAAAAGACCTGCCAGAAGGGAAATATGCCAGAGTCAAAATGCTTGTAAAAGATGTTAGAGAAGTACAATTTACATAGATAGAGATAGTGGTGATATACATATATATCCTCACACCAGTCCGAAATACTTCTTGAATCAATTGAGTTAGGCTATATACTAAGATACAATGGTGGTAATCTTCTGATTTTAAAATATATGCATTTCAAAAATGTTATAATTATTACTTTTATAATGGAAAACATACTTTTAAACTGTTGACCTAAATAAGTTGTTTATATTATCAGTAATCAAGTATAATAAACTGAATTTCCTTGGTGTTTATTTAGAAATTAAGACTATGCCGAGTATTTTACTGAAATCCATCCATATTTCTTTTATTTTCTGCTGTAATAGATTAAAATAAAGATATCGCAAGACTTCAAACTGAACTAAGTATATGCTTCCATAATGAAGTATCCAATAAAATTAGAAGGACAAATGCAGAAAATTCGGTAAAAAAATCATGTCCTTTGGGACTAATGTAAATGGAAGATGGAAAATATTGATCAGTGCCTTTCCTTCTATATTTTCTCTCTTCTCATGGTCTTGCTATGCTTCCTTTATATCATTTGTACCAGATCCCCATAGAGAACCGTTAACAAGACCTGTGATCTCCGCCGAGTACCAAGCTGGTTCGCCCATTCTTCTTGACTTCTGCCACCACACTAGCCAGCTGCTCGTTAGCTTGTCCCACCGACCTTGGGTTCTTCACAGTTTGAAAGGGAATGTCATTAGGGACATCAGCAAAGGTCAGGTCCCCATAATCTTTCACATCACACCCTAAAATTAAAAGTTTCAGGATACTAAGCTTAAAAAATGCAGATTACAAAACAGTGTATGTAGGATGATTCCAAATTCACAAAATAAATATATTTTCAAAGGTGTAAGCAAAGGAAAAGTCTGGAAGGACTGTGAACATCACGAAGGTAGAAACTGTCTGCGTTTGCCTGCCATCATCCCACCCATGTCTCACACAGTGCCTAGTAACTTCTTGAATCGATTCAGTTAGCTAGACACTAAGGTAACAGCGATGACCTTCTGATTTGGACCTGTTAAATGATCTATCTCTCTTTATCTCCCCCCTTCATTTTCTCTCTCTCCTTATATGCTTTCTAATTTTCTATGATAAGTGGTGTTTTGTTTTTGTAATAATACATAGCTAAGAAAAGAATATATGCTTATATCCAGAAGAAAATACACCGGTATTTTCTAAGTTTTCCGGCTCTGTAGTAATAGTCCTTGGTTTTAATCCAGTCTGTCACCTGCTGAAGCAGCTCAGCTTCCTCCCTCTGTCCATCGTACCTGCCTCATAGTGTTGTTGTGAGAATTAAATAAGAATATGGGCTTAGCGCTGAGCCTAACACTTAAGAGAGCTCAGGATATGAAGGCTTGTTTTCAATAAGGGAAAAAAAAATGCAGGTGACCCAAAGTTCCTATGGACGCTAGTGTGCTTCCTAGAAAGCACTCCATTTGACTGCAAAAGTACAGAGCTTCATGTAAAACTGTGACATGGGCTCAGGTCAAGGTTCTATAGGTAACTGACTATTGTGTATTATATTTATTTATGTGTCCATGATTCAGTAACACTTTCAGGAGGCTTAACCTGATATAAAATGTTACCAATTATGTTTGGTAACTGAGGGAATCGGTCCGCTTATCCAGCCAAGTTTTCTGTTCTCTGTTGGGAGTTTTGTTTTGTTTGTTTTATTTAGGTATAATTTTTATTCATTAAAATTCACCCATTTTAAAAGTATAGGTCAATGAGCTTTTGCAAATAGCTACAATCTTGCAATCACCACCACAATTGAGTTTTAGAGCATCTCCATTAACCCCAAAGGTTCCTCCTGTCCCTTTGCAATCAATCCCATCCCTACCCCCAGCCCCAGGCAACCACTGATTTGCTTTCTGTTGCTATACTTTTGTCTTTTCTAGAGCTTCATACAAATGGAATCACACAGTATATAATCTTTTGTGTCTGGCCTCTTTTCACATAGCGTCTGTCTGTCCCTTTTGATTGTTGAGTACTATCCCATCATAAGAATGTACCACGTTTTGTTGATCTATTCACCAGTTGCTGAATATTTTGTTGTTTTTGTTTTTTAACTATTATAAATAATACTGCTACAAACATCCAAGTACAAGTCTTTGTGTGGACATATGTTTTCACTTCTCTTGAGTAAATACCTAGGAGTAGAATTGCTGGTTCAAAAGGTAAATGCATGTGTAATTATTTAAGAAACTGCCAAACTGTTTTCCAAAGTGGCTGTATCATTTTGCTTTTCCACCACCAATATATGAAGGTTCCAGTTGTTCCACGTCTTCACCAACACTTCAGAGGGCTTTATATGTAAAGATAACATATACTCAAGTCTATACTTTTAAAATATATATACTTTTTCATTTGCAAATTTGTGTGTGTGGGTGTATAAACACATACGCACTACACAAATACTTGGCATTGTTACTATTATTATAGCTGTAATTCTTTATTTAGTTTCACAAATAAGGGTCCTCCTACTAGTAGTAGGAGGTCCTGGGTGGCACAAATGAGTAAGCACTCGAGTACCAGCCAAAAGTTTGGCTGTTCAAACCCACCCAGAGGCACCTCAGAAGACAGGCCTGGCGATCTGCTTCTGAAAGGTGACAGTCTTGAAGACCTTATGGTTTTCGCTCTGCACATATGGGGTGGCCATGAGCAGTGTTGATTACCGAGTAAGCAAGGTAAGTATGGGCTTGCTTGTGCTTACTTACTACTCTGTAGGGAACAATTTCACATTTTTTCACCATATCACAGATTCTGCTTCTAGGTATGGCTGGCATCTGTCTCTCTCCCAACCCCACATCACTGTCGTACAGAATCAAAGCCTCTTTTCAAATTTACAATCCCTGACAGGGATGGAGCACCCAGTAAGCAAGGTAAACACAGGCATACTTCTGTTTACTTGCTAATCTGTACTGAACAGTTTAACATGTTTTCACCACATTTGATATAAGGTAAGCCCATGCTTACCTTGCTTATTCGGTAATCCACCCCAGGCCATGAGTCAGAATCAACTTGACAGCAAATAACAACTTGCTAGTAGTATACTTCCTGTTGTCCCTTCCTTTTGTTTTCAAACCCCCCAACTTCCCCTCAACTTCCCAGTCCTCAGCCCCAGCACCACACACAGAGATTCTCTTATACAATAGTTTGTCTGGAAAGACAAAATATCTGAGTGAGGATATTTGTTCTCATCCCAAGGAATATTCATCCAAAAATATTTTCCAAGCATTTTTCGCATATGTTACTTATTTTATATGTTTCTAAGATTACAACCAGTGCTTCAGTTCTGTGGTATAAATGTCACTCCAGGCCCACCCCAGTTTAGCAAGCTCCTTCTCCTTCCTCCAGAGTGGGGAGGAAATCAAGCTGATTCTTTAAACTCAAAAATTACCTTGTTCTTTAAGTTTCTCGAGGAGACGAGCCTTTCTCAATACAGTAGGGCCTTCTTCCACCCCTCCTCGTGGCTGTAAAATTAAAAAAAAAAAAAAAAATCCAGACATTATCATGACTATCATGTTCACAAAAGCAATCTTTTCATTATTTAATCAGATGAATAGTCACTATCATTTTTTGAGCTCCTACAGTGCCAGGAATTTACATTATCTCACTTAATCTTTACAGCAAGGTAGATTGAATTACTCCTATGTCAAACATGAAGAACTAGAATCAGACAGGTTATGTAATTTTTCTAAAGGCACACAGCTAAAAAGTGAGCCTAAGTGCACATCCAGGACCCTGCAGATTCCAAAGCCTGCCTTCCCCTCTTCTGGTCACACCGTGTTATCAGCATGTTGTTGTGTTAGGTACAGTCTAGTCAATTTTGACTCATAGTGACCCCATGTGACAGAGAAGAACTTCCCCATAGGGTTTTCTAGGCTGTAATCTTTACAGGGTATATGGGCTGCAGCAGTATATTGACAGGGAACTGCCAAAAATTCAAGCTGGATTCAGAAGAGGACGTGGAAGCAGGGATATCATTACTGATGTCAGATGAATGATGGCTGAAAGCAGAAAATACCGGAAAGATGTTGACCTGTGTTTTATTGACTATGCAAAGGCATTCGACTGTGTGGTTCATGACAAATTATGGATAACATTGTGAAAAATGGGAATTCCAGAACACTTAACTGTGCTCATGAGGAATCTGTACACAGATCAAGAGGCAGTCATTCAAACAGAACAAGGCGATACTGCGTGGTTTAAAGTCAGGAAGGGTGTGCATCAGTGTTGTATCCTTTCACCATACTTAATCTGTATGCTGAGTAACTAATCTGAGAAGCTGGACAATATGAAGAAGAAGGGGCATCAGGATTGGAGGAAGACTCATTAACAACCTGAATTATGCAAATGAACCAACCTTGCTTGATGAAAGTGAAGAGGTTTTGAAGCACTTACTGATGAAGATCAAAGACCACAGCCTTCAGTATGGATTACACCTCAACATAAAGAAAACAAAAATCCTCACAACTGGACCAGTAAGCAACATCATGATAAACAGAGAAAAGATTGAAGTTGTCAAGGATTTCGTTTTACTTGGATCCACAATCAACACCCATGGAAGCAGCAGTCAAGAAATCAAAAGACGACATTGCATTGGGCAAATCTGCTGCAAAAGACTTATTTAGTGTTGAAAACAAAGATATCACCTTGAAGACTAGGGTGTGCCTGACCCAAGCCATGGTGCTTTCAATTGCCTCATATGCATGTGAAAGCTGGACGATGAATAAGGAAGACCAAAGAAGAATTGATACCTTTGAATTGTGGTGTTGGTGAAGAATATTGAATATACCATGGACTACCAAAAGAACAAACAAATCTGTCTTGGAAGAAGTACAACAAGAAAGCTCCTTAGAAGCAAGGATGGTGAGACTGTGTTTCACATACTTTGGACATGTTATCAGGAGGGATCAGTCCCTGGAGAAGGACATCATGCAGCAAAAAAGAGGACATGTCAGAAAAAAGAGGAAGACCCTCAACGAGATGGATTGATACAGTGGCTGCAACAATGGGCTCAAGCATTAACAACAATTGTGAGGATGACACAGGACCGGGCAGTGTTTCGTTCTGTTGTACATAGGGTCGCTGAGTCAGAAATGACTCGATGGCACCTAACAACAACAATCTTTATGGAAGCCGGTCACCAGGTCTTTCTCCCACAGAGTCGCTGGGTGGGTTAGAACTACCAGCTTATCGGTTAGCAGCCAAGCGCTTAACCATTGCATCACCAGAGCTCCTCATTATTAACATTGTGAACACATATTTTGTGCAAAAGCACTATGATAAATGCAGATATAAAAATGAAAAGGAGTGGGCTTCTGTCTTCGATTAATGCATAAGCTAACAGGGTATTTGGGCATTTAAACTAAATTAGAGCACATTGATAATTGTTTCAGTACAGATACAAGATGCCATGGCAGCAAAAGCAGGATGCTTCCCACTTTTTCAGGGCAGGAGTGTGTCAAGGAAGGCTACGTGGAGTAGGTGGTGTGTGAGCTGAGTCTTGCAACATGAGTAAGTGTTCACCAGGGAAACAGGTATGGGTGATGGAAAAAAATTTGCCAAGGAACAGCTTGGGCAAAGGCATAAGATGAGAAAGTGCATCGCACAAGAAGGGCCTGTGTGCAGGTCAACAGGGCAGTTAAGTTCAGGCTCCTGGGGAAAAATGGGCAACAGAGAAAATCACCACCTGCGAAACTATAACCAAAGACCAACCCAGTAAATTCAAGTTTTGAGTTGCTTATCACAATGGAGAGAAATGTCTACCCTGGCAGGAAGTCTTCTCCAGTCTCCTGGCTGACTGGAGGTCTAAAGAAGCTGTTCTTTTATGTATCTTTCTGATTCTAATTTCTGACAAGGCTTTTAGATACAGAAGGTTACTTGCTGTTGTCAGATGAGAAGATGTGCCAGAAGACACATGCATGTCTCCCTAAGATTGAGGCTGTGGTACCCAACTAAGAAGATCTTTCGTCTCAGTTCCAATGACCAGATAATTTGCCCCAGGTGCCAGGCAAATCCTCGATATCACGTTTCCATCCCTGGCAGTTACAGACCCCCATGTACTCTCCCTGACACATTTTGCTCCTTTACTGATTCCTTTTTGCCATGAGCGCTCCCCTTCCCTAAGTAGATAGAACATCTTCTTTGAGCCCCAGTAGGGTGCTCCTTTGGCTCATATTCTGCCTTTGGTTTTGGTTTTGGTTTCCGTTATTAGATTACATTCCAAAGTTCTTTAAGTGTTTGATTCTTGTTGTTAGCTGCCCTTGTGGCAGCCCCCGACTCATGACAGCCCCATGCACAAGGAAATGAAACACTGCCTGGCCCTATGCCATTCCCATGATCAGCTGCAGATTGGACTGTTGTGATTTGTAAGATTTCGTTAGCTGATTTTCAGTAGATCACCAGGCCTTTCTTCCTAGTCCATCTTAATCTGGAAGATCCTCTGAAACCTGTTCAGCATCATAGCTACTTGAAAGCCTCTACTGACAGTTGATGGCTATGCATGAGGTGCATTGGCCTGGAATCAAACCCAGGTCTCCTGAATAGAAGGTGAGAATTCTACCACTGAACCACCACTGCCACCTCTTTAAAGCACTATTTTTTTTATAGTGTAAGGCTAACATTTAGTGGATGTTCTAAAATTGCCAGTTTGATAAAATTTCTTGACCTTTCCCTCCTCTCCCTTTCAAACTTTAGAACAAATCTTAATGATCCCTTGTTGACACTGTATTTGCTCTAACATAGTCCTTGAATTTCCCACAGTGACATTTTCTACAATTTTCTTTTTTTAATTCACTCAAACTACTTCTCCTGATGGTCTTCTCTCATTGCTTGGTTTGTCTGCTTTCTTTGGAAAGTGATTTGTCAGCTCAACTGGCATTCTAAACTGGTTCCCAAACCCTAACTCTGCCTGCCTGGCCACAAGTGTAAGGTCCACTATGGAGTCAGGTCCTCTGAAGAAGCATCAGAGTAGGTAAGGAGCACAGGCTTTGCAATCAGATAGTCCTGGCTCTGCTACTGGCTGTGTGACCTTGGGCAAATTACGAAGTCTCTCTGAACTTCAGTTAACTATAAAATAAAAATACCTACCTCAGTGTTTGCTGCCACCACCTTTTCCCACCCCCACTGCCTTACAAGAGGGTGAGGCAGGGGATGGAGTCCTTTTTCAGGAAACCACTAGTGTCAACCTTCTGGCCATCTGTCCCCTTATCCCTCCCACCCCTACTCACTTACCTCATTTTAGGTGGGGAGAACTGCTTACATGTTAGCAATTTTTTTCCTACCCTATGGCTTAGTGTAAGGAGCCTTGGCGGTTCAATGGTTAAGTGCTCAGCTGCTAACTAAAAGGTTGGCAATTCAAACCCACCCAGCAGCTCCGCAGGACAGAGACCTGGAGGTCTGCTCCTGTAAAGATTACAGCCTAGAAAATCCTGTGGGGCAGTTCTGCTCTGTCACATGGGATCGCTATGAGTCAAAAATTGACTCAATGGCACCTAACAACAACAATGGCTTAGTGTAGAAAAATTTCTCTCAGTCTTTGCTATTCTGGGACAACAAGCTTCATTCTAATGGCCATGTTTTAATGGGGGAAGAGCTGTAGGTTAAAAAAAAAAACAAACTACTGAGAATGGGAAATGCACACCAGGCTATATTTCAAAATACCAACCCCAACAGGAAACCCTGGTGGCATAGTGGTTAAAAGTTCAGCTGCTAACCAAAAGGTTGGCAGTTTGAATCCACCAAGAGCTCCTTGGAAACCCTATGGGGCAGTTCTACTCTGTCCTATAGGATTGCTATGAGTTGGAGTAGACTCGGACAGCAATGGTTTTTTTTTTTTAATCCACTACAGTGACTGTTAGGAGTCCCTGGATGGCGCAAATGGTTAAATGCTCAGCTACTAACTGAAAGATTGGCAGTTCAAATCTACCCAGAGGTGCCTTGGAAGAAAGTCCTGGCTATATACTTCTGAAAGAGCACAGCCATTGAAAACCCTGTGAAGCGCAGTTCTACTCTGAAACACATGGGGTCACCATGAGTCGGAATTGACTCTACAGCAACTGGTTTACAGTGGATGTTAGGGGGCGGTGGTGGTTCCGTGGTAGAATTCTCACCTTCCTTGTGGGAGACCTAGGTTCAATTCCCGGCCACTGCACCTCATGCACAGCCACCATCCGTCAGTGGAGTCTTGTGTGTTGCTATGGGTTTCAGCGGACTGTCCAGACTAAGATGGACTAGGAAGAAAAGCCTGGCGATCTACTTCTAAAAAATAGGTCAATGAAAACCCTGAGATGAGACCATTACAGTGATCTAATCCAAAACCAATTATGGGCAGCATTTTATCCTGCTGTGCGTAGCGTCGCCGTGAGTTGGGGGACTGACTCAACAGCAGCCAGCAACGACAACAGTGACTATTATCATCAGCATTAGCCCTTGTGCTGAGATACACGGGCCAGAGCATGTTCAGTCTATTCCCTCACTTCTTTTCTTCCTTTTGTCAATTATTTCCTTATCTTGTTTTTTGACAATTATTTCAATTCTATGTCTGTTATAACTTATTCCAAGAATACGTGAGATTAATGTGGTTTTCACAGTTAACTCCGGCATTGAAAGAAACACTTCCGTGTCGGCAAAATGTCTTTGTGCTCTCAGAGAGATTTTCAAAGGAATGAAGTACTATTTACTGAGTCCAAATGCAGTGTGGGTCTCTAACCTCTGATCTCTGCCAATTTGTTTTGCAATAAAAAGCCAGAGTGCAAAGCAAGAATTCAAAACTAAGAGGGGTAAAGCGCTGCCCAGGTGGGAGAGAGTCTGAGAGTCCCACTAAAACAACAACAAAAATCCATTTTAGGGGTTTCAACTCACACTTTGTCTTCTTTTTGTTTATTTGTCTATTTTTCATTTTTAGCACAGACCCATATTAATATTTAAGGTTTTCTGAAATCTCTTCACATTTACCCAGAGTGAGTTTGTCCAGGCAGGGGGAAAAAAAAGACTGTATATTTATTTATTTATTGCCAAACCAAACCCATTGCGGTCGAGTTGATTCCGACTCATAGCGACCCTATAGGACAGGGTAGACAACTGCCCCATAGGGTTTCCAAGACTGTATATTTAAATGTCATTGGCATAGTTTTGATTCACAGCTGGGTGAATCTGTGAGTTTCATAAACCCATTAATCCTTTCAATGTTACCAACTGGCAATAGGGTTTTCTTTTTATTCCTTTTTTTCCCCTTAAAGAGAGGTACATAAAGGATTCTACCAAGTCCATAAACTATCAGTTTTGTAGAATCATTAAAACCTTAAAATAATCTGAATCATTTATGAAGTTGTAGGAAGCAATAATATCTAGGTTATCCAGGTTAAAAGAAATCTGAAAGTTACTTCCAATTGCATGAAAATTTTCCAGGCATGAATTACATAGCTAAACATGTTTTCTTAAAATTCTCTCTCCCTCTACACACACACAGTAACATCAAAATAACAAGAGCAACAAAATCTAAATGACTACTAATGTGGAACTAGTCCATTCCGATTCAAATAAAAATGCTTTCTCTTAAGAAACATAAGCAAAAATTTGTAAGATTCAAATAAAATTGGTTTTGGTTGTGATTAGGGGCCACATGAATAAGTGGATTTGTGACATAATTATACAATGTTGCAAAATGTTAAAAAAAGACTTTAAATATGTATATGTATACTTTTTCTTTCCAGGACCAAATTGTAGCAGGGAACTAAAGTAACAAGACAATAACATCTTAGTAATTTTAAAGTTCAAACGTTTCAAATAAGTCCCAGTTATCAAGAGCCTGACTTTTTACTCACCTGTCCCTTTGAGAAAGGAGCTCCAATGATCCCTATGGATTTTGACTTGGAACTCATGCTCCGGCACGTCTCTTCACTGAGCCCAAGTTCTCCAGTCATCAGCCTCTGCAGCCTTCAGTGACAGAAGGGACACACTTTTTTCCCATTTATAATTGGGTAGAATCTGTTTACCTTTATTCTAATGAAGGCAGCTGGCTCCACCTACTGAAGAATGACCCAAGTCAACAGAAAACCTTGTACATGCTCATACATGAAATAACTGTGATTCCTCTCAGTCTAAGTCACTATTATTCACTTTGCCATTTCACACCCTTGTCAAAACCAGCCGGGCAACATTAATCTTTTTAGGCAGTCAACAATATATGCTGACTCATAAGAAATACAATGATTCTGTGCAACCACGGGGCAGGGCACAAAGCCTCTCAAGGCCTCTGAGTCCTCCTATATAAAATAAGACCTGGGACTGGCAAGATGGTTTCTTGGCTCGCTTCTGATCCTAGCCCAGAGTGAAGTTTTCATATACCAGTATAAAAGTTCAATCCATGGAGAGATTTTATACACCAGCAGGGTGGAGTCTTATAGAAAGGATATGACTTCCTCTTCTTATTATTACTTGGAGAAAAAAATTAATTTCCTAATTAATAACCCAGATGTGTTGCCATGCCAATTTTGAAATATGGTGTGCAGGGAAACACCAGTTCTTGGAATTATCATCAAGGTATAGAAATAAAAATAGCTGGCATGGAGTTTTCATCACATGCCAGATGCTGTTCTGTTTTATGTTTATCGCCTCATTTAATCCTTGTGCCAATCTTACGATCTTACGATAAGTCTCATTATTAGTGCTGTTTTACTAATGAGGAAGCTGAAGCTCAGAGAGGTTACAGTTTCACACACAGGGTGTAGGTCACATGCGTGATTTAGTCATAGATACTCTGGATTCATCTAGTCACTGTGCTTTACAGTCTAAACACCCGTGAGGCATCAGCTATTAACTGTGTGCCCTTGAAGTTTGTTTATCATCATGCAAAAGTATGGATTTAGAAGAAATGCAACCTAAAGATCTTTCCAACTTTAAAATTATATGATTGTAATTAAAAAGGAAAATTCACTTAGTAGAAACTGATTTCTTCTTCCTATCAATGAGAGAGAACATTGTGGAGCCTATAAATTCCATACGGGCAGAGAATTTTGTCTGCTGTATCCCTAGAGCCTAAACAGTGCCTCAGATATGGACGGCCCTCAATAAATATTTATTGAATGAACGAATGAGGAAACCAAGGTCTCACAGGTACATTTCTTAGGCCTGTTTTCCAGACAGGCTTCCTATCTTTTACTTTTTGATTTTGTATAGCCTACATATTTACTCGTGGTATTACTTGTATATCCTAGATATTAGCCTCTTAAGGTGTTCACATTGCAAATATCTTCTCCCAAACTGTCAACAATTTGATAACTTTGTATATGTTATCATTGAAAATCCTTAATTTTAAAATAGACAATGGAATAATTAATTCTCCTCTTATGCTTTGTGCTTTAGAAAGTTTCATTTAAGTCCTTTCTCACCTTCAAATCACAAATATGTATTTCTACATTTTCTTCTATATGTTTTAGGGTTTATCTTATAACATTTAGGTCTTTAACCCATCTCTAGCTCATCTTTGTGTATTGTGTAAGTTTCCCAACTTTATTTTTTGCTATATGGTCAATAGTTTGTTCAACAGCATCCCTTGAGCATTTCATTCATCTCAGCATGTATTTGAGTGCTATTGTTATTAGTTGCCGTCAAGTTAATTCCCACTCATAGTGACCCCATGTGTGCAGAGTAGAACTGCGCAACAGGGTTTTCAAGGCTGTGATTTTTTTGGAAGCAGACTGCCAGGCCTGTCTTCTGAGGTGCCTCTGGGTGTGTTCGAATTGCCAACCTTTCAGCTAGTAGTCGAGTGCTTAACTGTTTGTGCCACCCAGGGACTCCATTTGAGATGCTACCACTATCATATATCAAGTTTCCCTACTTACATGGGTCTGTTGATGAGCTCTTTCTTTTGTTGCATTGGCTTATTTACCTGTGGCTGTATCAGGGCCACCCTGTTTTATTATTATGACTTTATGGCATATCTCATCATTGTTTGGACAAGAGTAATATTTTTTATTCTTTTTCAAAATTGATTTATCTATTCATTTTTTTCTGTATATATTTTGGAATAAGTTGTTGAATTCCTAAAATAAAAATAATCATGCTATAATCTTTACTAAATTTATAGATTAATCTATAAAGATTTGCCATTTTTTCCTTCGAAAAAGTCTAACATCCTGAAAGTTCTTTCTATACCAAGCTTAGTTTGCCTTCCTGTCATTTGACCCATTGGTCACAACCCTTGGATCCAAATAAAGCACACTAACTCTTGGCTGTCAAGGAATCCCTGGGTGGCACAAATGGTTAAGCACTCAGCTACTAACCAAAAGGTTGACTGTTTAAATACATTCAGAGGTGCCTCAGAAGAAAGATCTGGCAATCTACTTCTGAAAGATCATAGCCACTGAAAACCCTATGGAGTGCAGTTCTACTCTGAAACACATAGGGTCGCCATGAGTTGGAATCGCCATGAGTTGCCCTTGAGGGCAACTGGGTCTAGTTATTGGCTGTCATGTTTTCTCGAGTCCTCTATTATTTAGCCTGACTATCCCCAAGTACTTCACCAGTTTCCTGTATTACATGATCACTACTCTCCTTCACCACCACCATATGTCAGTTTGTCATACTGTGGTGCCTTGCATATTGCTATGATGTTAGAAGCTATGCCACCAGTATTTCAAATACCAGCAGAGTCACCCATGGTGGACAGGTTTCAACAAAGCTTCCAGACTAAGAAAAACTAGAAAGAAAGAACTGGTGATCTATTTCTAAAAATTATCCAGTGAAAACGCTATGAATCACAACAGAATATTGTCCAATATAGTGCTGGAAGATGAGTACCCTAGGTTGGAAGGCATTCAAATACACAGTGACTGCCACAATGGACTTGAGCCTGCCAACGATTGTGACAGTGGTGCAGAACCAGGCCACATTCCCTTCTGTTGTACATAAGGTCACCATGTGTCATAGCCGACTTAGCAGAAGCTAACAACAACTGTTTCAGGTTACTATCCTCATCACTCTCTTCAAAGTATCTTCCAGTTTGCCTATGCCCTTGTTGAGTAGTGCATCCAGAACCAAATGAGTACCTCCAGATGTAGACAGAGCCATCTGGCCCATCAAATACAAATCTGGTAATGCTTGACTTTTCCAATTCACTGATAAAAATGTTGAACAAGGACAGCACTTATGTAAGACCTCCTTGACGTTCCACCAGAAACGTCAATCAAGATTGGCTTAAGTCCATTAATTAATCATCAGCCTCCAGATATAGCTGTTGAAACATTTTCCAACTCAACTACTCTATCTTGTTTATAAGGAAATTTTTCAGGTGTCTTAATAAAATCTAGCTACCCTTTGCCAACTTTTGTCATCAACCAGTCCAACACCCCTGTCAAAGGTGATAGGGTGAACCTAACCGGTCCTATTCTCATACTTACTCTAGTTTTAGCTGTTTCCTTTTTGATGTAATCTTTTCAATCTCCGAAACTGTCATCTCAGAACTTCTAAAGAAAGAGAATAGTGAGTATCTTACTTATGTCATCCTACCTAGGAAAGGTCAAAACTCCACTTTTTCAAGCTCAATTCTTTATTTTAGAAGACATATACTGAGTTTTTTGAAGTCTTTCTCTTAACTATACACACTTCTTACCTTTTTTTTTTCCTATCCTATCTGGTCATTTCCCTGGCACTGGGACATCTTATTTGACTTTAATCTGAAGTTCTAGAATGAGATATGCCACATAATTAATGTTTTTAAGATAATAACAAGAATAAATGTTGCTTGATGAGAAGGACCACAAAATGGTGTGTTTCTCTCTCTAAGGCTCCAGACTGTGCCCATTTGTGCAGTAACTTTTTATCAGCCAGCTGGCAGACAAGACTCTTTTCAGATGAAACCCAGGATTTTTAGCACTTTTATAGATGACTTAAAAATACACAAAACCCAAAGGACTAAATCTCTAATGGAGTGATTTGAGGGAACCATTTTTGTTTGATTAGTAAAGATAGGCTGTTCCTAGGACTCTGTGAATTTATGGAAATATTCAGGCTGGAAAGATCCCTGAGTGTGTTATCTAGTCATATGTCAAGGTAGGAACTCTCCTAACTCCACAGAGTGGGCCGCTGCAGAAAGAAGGTTCACTCTGAGTGTGTGGTTCATGTCGTTTTCCGGCTCTACTTTTGTGCCCCTCTCCTCCTGCTTTCCCACCTCTCTCTTTACCTACTTTGAGTGTGGAAGCTGTAAGAAACAAAGTGTCAAAGAGCAGAGTCATTGATCTCTCTGGGAACATGAGCTTGAGGCAGCGCTACTCTGGGACCAGGTGACAAAAAGTAACCTCAAAAGGGGAGCTCCATCCACTTTGGTGCCCTGAGGACTGTAAAGAGATCACTCAGTGCCCAGCAGAACCCTGAACTTGGTGTCAGGGTAAGATACTTAAGGCTCATTTTGGAGGCTGCAGCTACAGACCCCCAAAGAGAAGTCTAAAAATAGGGGAGAAATAAAACCGTGTAAATCACAGTGTAGGTTCCTAAGAAAATATGAGTTACCTCTGGGTATTCCTAGAAGTAGTTGTGGGGGCTTAATATCTTACACTGGTGGGTGAGGGTAGGAGCCAGAGAAATACCGTATATGGCCATTATATTCCAAGGTAAATGTGGCCTGGATATAAGATTATAGGTGTATGGCCCTCAGGGTACAGTGGCTTATCTAAGTCCTACGGCTAACTTTGGCCAGAACTGGAAATGGAATCCACATTTCCAGGATCCCCTAATGCTATTCCTACTTCCTCATGCTACTTCTTTAAGCCAGGAAACTTCTTCATTCTTGTCAGACTTTAGCTTTTAAAAGAAACGGATTTTCAGTCTTTCAGAAACTAAACCTGGTGAGTGGTGAACCATACACTCAAACCAAAAACTATCAAAGGATCTGCAGAAAATTAACGATGCTCTCTACCC